AATTTTTGGTCCAAAAAATTGTTTTTAGGTGTTCTGGCTTTCGAAAACAGAACTACAATTTATTTTATCTATCTTTTTCAGAAGTATTTTTTCTAGAAACTTTCCAAGTTTGCTTTTTATATAAAGTGGCGTATTTGTTGCAGAAAAGGAGTGGAAGTGCTCAGGATGAAAGATCAATAAATACACAATATTTATGAAAAAAGATAGACAAAAAGCTAAACAAAGAAGTTCTAGAGCTACATAATCAATAATTGACGTTCATGCGAATCGGAGAGGAGCTATCAGTAGGCTTTGGCAGGCTTGTCTAAAGATAGAGCCTTCGAATAATTTCTCCACATTCCAGATTGAGTTTTTTGACGGGCAAAACTCAATTTTGTGGCTCCAGGCCCTTTTTTAGTGTCAAGTGAGAGCTCGTCAACTACTTACCGCGGACAGGAGAAAATCTTCTTCTGCGCCTGAAGTAACATTGGTAATCCCAATATCCAAAACAGACTCATTTGAGGACATTTTTGTGTCAAGTTTAATTAACGAGTGCTTTTACGAGTAGAGTAGTTTTTAAAATGACAAGTGACAATGTAAATAATTGATAGTTCACACTTATGCAAAATGGAAAAAAGTAGGCAATTTGACAATTTTTGTTGACGTAGATTCAAAGGCTGTTTTTTGACTGCGTCTATGTTAAGCCAAAGCTGAAAGGGGAAAAGTTGGGACAAGATAACATTAAAGTTCGTGGCGGAATATTGAACTTTGCCTCTGGTTTTGGCAAAATGGGGAAAAGGAAAAATCGATAAAGCTGATAAGGAAGTCAGCTCGATAGCCAGGGCTGAACAATAAACGTAGTTACAAAGCTGAGCATTTTTCGGCAACTAATGGCAAAAATTTACCAGACAGTTGCTGTATAACCATCACAGCACAAAAAAATACCCGGGAATGTTAGCCTGAAAGGCTTTATTTACTCTGGGCTCATAAAAAATAAAACGACTGAGCTTCTTTGAAGTGATTTTTCCAGGATTTGAAGCGGGGTACATTTGCTAACGATAGGATTAAGAGGTAATAAACGCAGAAGTAATAACTATCAAATAAAGGCACAATGGGGGAGGGGCCAGCTGGATTGATGTTTAAAACTTCAACGAAAGTCGGTGGAAATTTGAAGATTGATGCCAACTTGAGCTTCCTGAAAAAAATAAAGACAAATTATAAGTTCCAGACTTAAATGCTTAAACTGTTTTTTGATGGCATGAATTTGAAAGCTATAAAAAAGTACTATTTGAAAGTAATATCAAGAACTGCTTTATCGGAATGGGGTATAAAAATTGCTGAAAAATATTCTAAGTCAGTCTTTGGTTTCCTGGTGCTAAAGATGGACAAAAAATGGAATTCGCAGTAAACTGACCAATGAAATTCCACCACCATTTTTTCACATCGAGATTCAGTTTGCTTCTTAAAATGACGGTTACAAAAACAGTACGAAATGAAAAGCTGAAAGTTAAAATTAAATTCCCTTTTGTTTTGCATAGAAAATTAATTAGGAAAAAGCGAGGACCACTTCGAGCTTCTTAATGGAGATTGCCAATTGTAGTTTACTTTTTGGAGATGTCAGAAAATTAATCTAGAAATGCATACTTTCCTGTTAAGTTAGAAGTATGATCACTTCAGGTGCTCAAAAAACAAAATGAAATTGGCGTCGGGTAAGAGAAACTGAACAACTCAATGGCACCGTAATTTGATAAAATGAAAAAAGTCTTTTTTTGTCGAATCCCAAAAGCAAAAAGCGTCATATTAATTTGAACAAATTAGAATTAAGTAACATTTTAAAAAGCGCGCGTCTAAAAAAATTCCAGACGCCATAGTTACCAGGAAAAACTACGCAAAAACGCAGTGAGGGCGACATTCTTAACCCTTTTAAGACTGATTTAGAAGAACTATTTTTGACCACAACCTTCTATTGATAGAAAATTGAACCATCTCTAAAAAACAACGACGCAAAAAGCTGCCATGGATTTTTTTTTATTTTATCCGATAAAAGGCTGACTGCTTTTATTTTTGTTAATAACTCTTGACTAGGGTCAAATTTTTGAAAAAATTGACGGAGAATTTGTGCAGAAAGCGTCGTCATATTATTAAAACATTATTGTCTCCCTCCCCCCCCCCCATGGTTACATGAAACCTCTAGCAAACTTATACACTGACACAGAGTGGCCGAGAAAAATTGGTTCAATGATATTGTTTTCCAGTCAACAATCAGGCCTTTAAGCACTCTCCATTTTGAAAGCTTACTGTTGCCGTTTAGAGCTGATTAAAGTATTAAATTACTATAACCGTCCGTATAGCTGATTAAAGTATAACTGCCAAATATCAAAATTTCAGATATGTCTTTTTTAATTGAAAGTCGCGAGAATGAAAGATAATTATTTCATTATTTTTGTATCACTCATCAGATCAGAAAAAATAGCACTAATAAGAGTACTAAATTTATCAAAGTGAAAAATTTCAATTCACAAATCGTAAATGGTAATTAATTCATTACAGAAAGTTAAGTGTGGATAGGCTAAGGAATTCAGGGTAACCCGGTTGAAGCGTACCCTGGTGACAAAAAAATTCAAATGCTATTATCCGTTTTGATACTGATAGTGGAAGTAACTGAAAAAAAAAGAACGAATAATAAATAAATAAATAAATAAATAAATTAGAATTTTTACTGATAATTTATCCACTTAGAAGATAAAGTAGCGCAGATTACTCAAAAAGTAGCTCACAAGCCTAAAGTAATGCTATAAAAGAAACATGGCGTTTGCTTATGATGACAGTTAAAGTTCAATAACTTATAACGATACTTAATTTCGCCTTATTTTGAGTAAAAATGGGTTTTTGTTTCTTGAGAAAAGCATTGGGTTTATGATCGTTGTGACCCATAATTTAACATTCAGGCCTTTAAGGTCAATTGAAAATAATGTTTTGGTACAACGAACAGGTTTATACCAACTTCGTCAGACCACTTATGAGCGAATGAAAGACTTACTCTTTTTTCAGCGATAAAGGGCTAATAAAATATACTGATGTTCTAACTAAACTAAGCTTAAAATTAAATCAGAAAGTAAAGACTAGAGTTCAATTAAAGTATGTGGTAATTCTAACTAACAAGCTCTAACACTGAACTCGCTCACTCCGGTGGAGAGTGCTAGCATTAGTCAAGGTCATAGACGACCTGTTAATAAAAGATTAAATAAAACAATAAGACAATCACGACACTTCTCCTAGCTGGGAAAAAAACTACATAGAACAATTATAAATGCGATTGATCCCTTTCCCCCTCTGGGGAAGAATGAACATTAAATTACAAACCACAATTAACTAAAATTTCCAACTCTTATAAAGAATTTGAAAATGATTAATATGAAGTTTTAAGTAAAACTAGGTTTCGTAAATGCAAATTTGTTCCACGGAATTGGTTCATTAAGCTTAATTGCTTGGAGTTTTTAGCACTGAAGAAGAGGCTTTGGAGCAAAAATGAACGCTTGAGCGGTATTTGGGCCAAATGGCAGATATGATTTGATACGAGGGTTGGGTGTACATCCAATGGATTTACTACGAGAAATTTTACGATACAACTTTCTTTCTCTTGCGATAATAATGCGATCTTGCGAAAATTGGCTTCTGGGTTCAAAAGTATTAGAAGTGGGGTAGAAAGAAATTAGCGCTTACAAAAGAAGTTATCGCTCTGTATAGCATTTACGCTAATAGAGTTTCAGTGTTAAACTTCAAGTGTAAAGTTTTTCAAATACTGGTCAAATTCTCTTATCATGTCTGAATAGTCACTGTTTTCTATTGATTGGTGCAACGTGTTAAGCAAGTCCAGAATTTCTCCTGTTATTAGGTTCCGTACCCAGGGGTTGCCTCCGTCAGTACTTCCGAGAACGAAGGAGATGACTGGATAACTGATTGTGGGACTAGGAGCGTGCAATCCTTTTCGTTTTCGGAAATGAGGTTACTGATTGTATCTTCGTTAGTGTGAACGGGTTCTCAGCGCTCGCAACCCTTGCTCACAATCACCATCTATGAATAAACTTTCACCACCAAATTTCGGCGGTCCATCATTTCATTGTGTCTTGTAGAAATTTGTTTCTTCCCTTCTTGTGATTCAGAGAATTCATACATAGGGATTTTAACGTAGATGAGTCGTCATCAATTTTGTAAACGGCAGAGTGCGAATTTTTTGAGTTTTGGTGGTAGTTGTTCCGGTGTAGTGTCATAAAAAGCAGATGCAGAGGATGTTTAATCTGCTCTAGAGATTCCAGTCCAGCGCGGTTTGAGGAGGTTACCAGAATGATGCTAATCGGGCATTCATCTGATAGTCTCTCTGTGCTCCAATCTAAATCTACAAATTCCAATTTCAATGGATTATTCGTTAGAGTGCGTTTTGGTTTATATTGTACAATTGAACTGAAATAATCCTTAATAAGATTTTCCCTGGCTACGTTTGTACATGGAAAACCGCCTACGGTTCATTTCGAATCAATAAGGGCCGAAGTGCAAAATAGTAGAAAAAAAGGATTCGACTTCAGCTGAATAACAACATGAGGAGAAGATATATTTTTTTAGCTCTCTCCGGTTGGATTTTCGTATTCTTCAGTTTCGGCTCGAGCATTTCGTTGGTTTTGTTGTGGAGGTTCTAGTTTTAGTTAGATTATCAGATGGAGAAGTTGCCACTCCTTCTTGTGTACTGGGATCCATTTTTCTTTTCTGTGAGCTACTTCACAAAAATGGTTAAAATCCGGTTTTGTAACACTAGCCTTAAGAACTTTTAATTGTTTGAAACAGTTCTCGCGATATCTGATTTCCGCAGGATTTTTCTGCTCGCCCTTTTCACACTAGTAATTGAAGATTGCATAGTTTTCTCGCCCAATGGTCGGTAATAGGGTTCTCCGTTCTTGTAGAATAAAACCTTTCGGACTTGGCGTGGATGAGTTTCATCTCAACGTAGCCTGGATGAGTTTTGTGAAGTAAACTTATGGCCGCTGTTTTGAGCGCGTAAGGTCAACATAATTTGTTGTCCATAATTATTAAACTGCTTACAGTATGAGGATCTTTATAAAATTGTTGAAAACAACGAAGAAAATTAGAAGTGTATAGCTTCCTTTTCTCTTCTAAAGCTTCGGACAAAAGGTTTGTCTTCTTCAGTGAAAAACGCGATCATTTCATTGTTGAGAAATTTGATCGTTTTAACGGCCTTTCAAGCAATTTGAGAGAATCAATGTTAGTTTTTGTTAAGAAAGATTGATTAGATGACGTTAGTTCTGCAGAAAAAAATTCAATAAAACCTTCCGAGAAAGGATCAATTCTAATTTCACTGTTTGTAATTAGATTAAATACAATGTTGGATTTCATAGGAGATTTTAATAAAAATGAAAGTGCAGGTAAAAATATACAAACATAAAATTTGAGATTATAAGTCTTGAAGAGTTATTTTTTGAATAATCCAACGGAGAACATTTAGGTGCAAATTTCGGAACGGCAGTCAAGAAAATTGCAAGTTTTCAGTCTGTAAGTAATTAAATTTGGAATAGATGCAATAATCTTATTAGGTAATGTTGCGTCATTGGAGTTATCTGAAACTTGACCACTTAGATTTGAGTGAGGACGAAACTTGTCTTTCAATGAAATATCTTATGAATTTATAAGTGACTTGATTTTCAAAATTATTGCCTCTACGAGTTTTTTTTGTTAATTTTAGGATGGTAAGAGTTCTTCAATTACATTTCATGAAAAACCCATTTTCTTGATTTCTGTAAAACGCATATCCTTGCCAGATAAATGTTTTGTCAAAAACTTAAAGGCTAAAATCTGTCAGCCCATTTTATTAGGCGGCTGTGGCATGTTTTGTTCCCATGTTTCCAAGATAAAGCAGCTACTAGTGCTTTTTGGTGTGTTATTATTTCGATTTAGGATCCGCCAAGTAGTTTTTGTAGTGTTTAATGGCCCAAACAACGCCTAAAAAATCCAGCTCGTTAGTTCAAAATTTCGCTTTGTGAGGGTTTAAAAATCGACTCGCAAAAAACTGTACAGTCATTCCCATGGAGTTGTTCGAGCTTCGCGCCGAGACTGTTTGGAGAAGCGTCTGTTTTCCATTTTGTACGTAATTTTCCGTCAAATTTTTTACTTTCTGTTAGAGTTACA